AAGAAGTTTCACTTCAAAAATGTCCGCTCAAGGGAAGTTCCCGTCTACTAAGGCGCCCGTTAGGAGAGGTTACCTACTCGGCTACGGTGGTCAAAAGCTGTGTTGCTTTTAAATTCATAGTTTTCATGTGCATAGACTGTAGAAGGGAGAGTAATGAATAATTTGTGGTATTTTCGACGCGGGATGCCAATTTACCTTGGACTTCCAGTTGCTCAAATATAATTTTGACAGAAAAAAATATTTTTCATAATTTTTGCGGCCATCCTTTTGTCCACCATTTGACAGCATTTATACACCGGATAAAAATATGCGATTTACCTACATAAGTATAGTATTTTATTATAAAATGTTTTTATTAAAAAAAAAAAACAATTACAAATGATCGTATTCTAAGTAATTTATTCAATATTTCCTTTTCGGTTGTATGTATAAACATGAAATTAATAATAAAGGAAGTATAATAAAGTCGTTCGATAAATTAAACATTAAAATAAATATTGCAAGAATAAAAAGTGTGAATAAGAACAAAATTTTAACAAATGTTATAGAATTGTACTTAAACAAAATAGTAGAAATTTTATTGAAGAATATAAAAATTAATAGGAAAATTAAATTGAAAAAAGGAAATGCAAGGTAAGTCAAGGAGTTGCAGTCCCAAATAAGAATTCTACAACTAAGTACAAGTATTTTATTAAAATAAATTTAGCTAAAAGTACTGCATATTCAGTATTACGTAATTAAAAAAAAAATAATAATAATTCGCGAAAAGTTCTGTGGAAGGCTTAAAGGGAGAGACTCATTTTATTGCTCTCTTGAGAGCGAGAATATCTATTACAAATAAACAGAAAGTTTAGTAAGTACTAATACATATTAGCGGATTATTCACATACACTTATGTATTATTTGTTTACATGCTAGAAGTGCATAAGTCTTTGAGGTTTTTTTTTTATTTATTTCCACTCTCTTTTACTGTATTATTTTATTACTGCGTATTTCTTTTATGTTTTTTTTTTATTAGCATTTCATTTGTTTAACCACTTATCACTGTACTCTCTCTCTATTAGTGAGAGTTCAAAAGTAGTCGCTTGTATAGAAAAAGTACTTATGTCCATAAGTAAAAGTAAAAAATTTAGCCACGAAACTGCGTTGGTGTGCCAAAATATTTCGTGCTTTTTTACAGCTAAGTAAATTTAACAAAGTCTAGGCTGCTGCAAGCACACAGAGGCATCACTGCACTTACTCGGTGTCTTCTTGGTTTGTCGAATTTCTGTGCGGTTTTTACTTTATTTTATCTTAACTTAATACACTAAATAGCGTCTATCAAAAAGTGTTTGACTTTCTGACATTTTCTGCTACTTCCTCTATATATGTATGTATGTATGTATGTATATGTAGGTTTCCTTGCTGATATCATCTTCTGCTGCGCATCTACAAAGACGCTATGAACGGTGTTAAATCGGGGAATTTGAAAATATTTTGTGGTCGTGAACGTTGCACACGCACCGGTGCTTGTACTGAGGCTTGACGCGCCTGCGCAAAGTTGCCGCCATTGCCGTTGCCATTCAAATAGATGCCACACTGAGAGTTGCATACTTCATCACGTAGAATGGCGTCTTTGGGCCATTGACGTATCAGTTGGCCGCAATCGGTAATGCGTAGCGAGGCGCATTGTGGCTGTGGGGGTGAAAGAGCGCGGTTTTTTATTTATTATTTTTTTTTTGTATTACATACACTGGCTGAAATTAGAATTTTTTTGGTTAATTTTTCAACTTACGCCTTCGGCTGAGCACACACAGCTGGTACAGGGTGATGGGAATGCGGATTCACCAACGCGCACATGTCTATTGCCTATCTGACAGCCTTGGACATTTTCACGCCACAAACTTAAATCGATTTGCGGCATGGAAGAGCAGGGCACACGTGGATTGCTGGAATGAGAGAAGGGGAAGAAAAAGCGAGAAGTAGTAAAATTAAAATAAATTCTTAGCAGAAGAAATTTTTAATGAAAAAATGTGTTGTTTACCGTTTACTTTTTTCACTCTTAATATATACATTAGGGTGTTCAATATTTTTTTTCGGCTACCCTTCAGAATTGCAAAATACGAAAATAAAATTTTTTTATATGGGGAATATAAAAATTTTTTAGAAGTGCTGTAAAGTCGTCAAAATAAATATTGAATTGACACCCATGGCCCAAGCAAAAGGAATCATGAAATATTTTTTCATCGAATGAGAATATTTCCCTTCAGACATCTTCAAGACATAAAATTATGATGCATATTTAACATTAAGATTGTACTTACTACTTTTTCAAAACCGGTAATTTTATCTCTTATATACAAAAATTTATAATTTTATGTGTTCGTAACCACATCACGCACATAACGAAAAAAAGTTACTAAAATTTCAAAGTTAAATATGTATTAAGATTTTACTTTTTTAATACCTCTGAGGGATAAATTCTTATTCGATCAAAACATACTTAGTTTCAACGATTCTATAGTAATTCTACAATAAATGTTATATCCCCATGTAAAATATAGAGAAAACTTCGGTACGGGCAAATATTAACCGATTTGAAAATGAAAAAGTACAGGTCTCCTAATTTTAGATATTCTTCGGTTTTTTAAAAAGTTCCAAAAAGTTGAGTTTCTTGTGCATTTTTGGACAACATCATACACATGATAAAAATAGACACGACCTTTTATACAAAAAATTACAGATCACCAGCAGCGCAGCTCAGCATTTTTGGACCACCCTATATGGGTGTTCATCAATTCTGAACGTTTGAAAATATCCAGTAGCGATAGACTATCAACAATGACGTGGGTTCCAAGGCGCTTATGCTCTGACTGTTTGCCGGATGACAGGATATAAGTACTTAGTCTTGTTCTCGTTCATCACCAAACCCATTCGCTTTGCTTCTCTATTTAATTCCAAAAGGTTCTAAGGATGAGTTAAAAAGTGCAATCCAAGAACAAGATACAGACGTTTAGACCCTAGCCTCGCAAAAGCTGGGGAGCTTAAAATAAGGTGTTGACATGTTTCCACCTTATCGTCAACTAAGCCTTATGAGGGAGGATCCGGTGTGATATTTAGTACCAAAGCGTAGTTTTCACTTAGCTTTTGCTATGCAGACGCATACAGTACCTGCTCCAATGCAGCCTGTATTAACTCAAAAATGCTCCCACCATCTCTTTTACCGGTGAGACCAATTCATTCGCTCCATCTAAGTCGAACTAGGAAATATTCAGAAGCAACTGAAAGGGAAGTCAGAAATTCCTCCCCATGCTTTGTTTTCCGCTTGACTATCAAAGCAGTTGCTAAGCTTCCTTGTCGACGTCACTCAAAAGTACTTTGAGGCTTTGGCTTCACTAAATACTGGATACAAAAGTACTTAGTAATTTTGACTTGATTAAACACCTATTCCTCAGTGTAAATATGAAGAATTTTGGGATTCGGGCCTGTTGGACTTCTTCTGAATTTTCGGGCCCATTTCAGGATTTTTCGGGACTATTTCGGGATTTTCAGTATCTTAAGGTTATCGACACTTTTCGGGATTCCCTGCATTCTCGAGTTTACTTTGGGATTTTCAAGACTATTTCCGGATTTTCAAACCTTTCGGAATTCTCGGAACCATTTCATGATTTCCGGGATTCTTGGAACTATGTCATCGTTTTTGGGACTACTTCGAGATTTTCTGGAGTATTTCCGATTTTCGAGATTCGGAACTGTCGCGAGATTTTCGAGGCCTCTTCAGAAGTCTCTGGATTTTATTAAGGTTACGAAGACTATTTCGAAATTTCGGGACTATTTCGATATTCTCAAAATTATTTAGGGATTTTCTGAACTATATCGTGGTTTTCGGGACTGTCCTGGCATTTTCAAGATTATTTCGGATTTTCCGGGACTATCTCGGGGTTTTCAGGATCTTAAGGTTATCAACACTTTTCGAGGTTTCCAGTATTCTCGGGACTACTTTGGGATTTTCAAAACTATTTCCGGATTTTCGGACATTTCGAAATTCTCTGAACAGTTTCATGATTTTTAGGGATTTTCTGAACTATATCGTGGTTTACGGGACTATCTCGGGATTTTCAAGACTATTGTGGATTTTTCGGGATTATCTGGAGATTTTTCGGGACTAACTGGTGATTTTTGGTATTCTCGGGACTATTTCGTTAACAAATCGACTGATTTTTAATTTAAGATAATTCAGATAGGTCAGCTTTGTTTTATGTGAAGAGGACAAGGAGTTAGAATAATTAATTTCAGCTCCGGCACCTACAACATTAACCCGAACTTAGCATCAATTTAGACACCACTATATAACGTAAAGTTAAGAAAATTGTACGTTGGTTTACTCACAGGAAGTTACTGGGCAGATCGAGAGCAGCACGTTGCATATCGCCAGGAATCTCCAAGTTATCACAAATGAATTTCGCCAATGTCACCTTACGAATTTCAGCGAGTTGCGCCTCGGTGAAACGTACTTCAGAATTAGCGTTTTCATACCTGAAAGAAAAGAAAGATATTTTCTTAATCTAATTTTCCAATGAAGCATCTATCTGAACTCACCAGAAACGATCACATTTGCGCAGTTGACGAAATTGTATACCAATAATGCAAGCCAATGTAGGGCCAACCAAACCACCTTGCAACGGACGTTCGGTCATAGCGCCAGGGAAGAGATCAATATCATCGACGGAAGCATAGATTTTCTTGAAACGATTAATAACTTCATTTGGCATTTCGCGACTAAGATCGCTCCAGGTAGCGGCACGTTTCAGATTGCAAAGAGCGCGATAGTTGTTGTAGCTGGGAATGCCATGATCACGTGCTGAATATATTCGAAATAGATATATTTATTTAGCATGGAAATGATTTGTGTTATTTGAACATTTACCTCTCTGAATATTGAGCGCGATAAGATCAATGCCGGAGAAGGGAATTTTGCGGTCTTCGAACAAGTGATTAGTAACTTCGCCGGTAATGAACTGATCCAAAGTTTCCATGGGAGTGGCGACTAGACCACGCGAAATTTCGTCAATGATGCCGGGCTGTCGAGAAAAAAAAATCGTTTGTTACTAATGCACTTGCATCCCGACAATCCATTTTTTGTCATGGGGCTCACCTGCAGCATAGCATCCATGCGGAAGAAACCATCGCGCAACAGCAGTGGTGGGTCGACAGGTTGGTGGTTCACACTCAAGCGTGGTATGTGTGGACGCAGCAGTGAATGGCCGATACGGAAGGCGGCAGCAGCGAATTCATTGAAAATAATCGGGCTGCATGAGGGATTGTAGTCCTTGTAGTAGCCTTGAGGCAGTAATTTCAAGCCATACAAATTCACAGCGTTCCAACTGAGTACGCGGGGCAAGAACTCATTGAACACCATATGCTGCCACTCGGCAGTGAGTATGCGACGCGCGTGGAAGAACAATTGATCGCTATTCCAGTGTG